TAGGCCATTTCGCGCATGCTTGGTATTCTGCCTCTACTGGGTCTACAAAAGTGTTTTTTCTGAGTTGATAGACTTGACAGCTGATGCTCACATCACGCGCCTCGCACGTATGAGCAATTTATTTCCAATTGGTCACTGTAGCTGCATGGAGATATTTTAGCTCCTGCAAGAAATATTCTCTTAGCTCTTGAATCAAGGTTTACCTGGTTTACCCCCTGCACGGCACGGTGTCCTTGCCAGGATCTAGCCAATTGTTCTCAGGTATCTCGGCAGATAACTCCAGAGTCTCAGGCCATCTTGGTGGTGCAGTGGCTAGCTAAGCCACCTGTTTTGGTACTACATCCTCCTCCATGCCCGATATATAGCAAGCTGAACGACCTCTTCCTCCTCTATGCATGGCATATGGCTAGCTGAAAAGATTAATTAGGCATTACTTCGTAGATCTGTTCTAGCCGGGTGAAGCTTCTAGTTATTTATCAAAGATATAAGAGTAGAGATATCTGTGTCATTCTCTTTCTTTTATTTCCTCATCCGCACCACAACTTGCCCTTTACTCCGGAAGATCGAAAAACCACTTTCCTGTATAGATGTCCCTTATTTTCACCGCCTCATTCAAGATGCTAATAGCAGGTTTAGTACAGAAGCATAAAAGACAGTCTTTAAACTGGAATACTCAATCAAAATGGGCCACGATTGCACTGTTCGATTTGCAAATGGGCTGGGCAGCAATTCGAAACTTGACATCACCGTATACTACAGGACTAACAATTCAGGTAGTCAAATTCTTTCAAAGTCAATTCATATAGATGGGTCTAATTCTGAGTCGCTGACTTTCAACTACCTTGAAAAGGTTTACTGTACCAAGGGAGGGGGGAAATATGCCCAGGTTGATTTGGACACAAACGCATTCGATGGACAGCCGTCTACGGCATACTTCACCACCAATGGGGACTGGTCTGGGGATTGGCCTACTTTTAATCTGGATTGGGAAAGTGCCGGAAAGCGTAGAGGCCAATGGGCTTACAAATAGTTGTAGTGACTGACGGGCTTCTTCAAGTCTTTAGCTATATTTAATCTGCAATCCCAAGTTCTCCCAAATGGAGGCCATGTTTCGTTTCATATCGCGTGGTTTATGTAGATTTGGTTGCCTGAATAGATGCTGGTCAAGACTTGAACATGATGACTGTACTCCAGCTTGGTCTGAGCCTCGGCGAAACATTATGCGGAAACGTTACACGTGAAGTCAACACTTGCACCACCAATCAAATCTGGAGGAGAAGTACCTTATTCTGCCTTTCGTTCAAGTTGAACGCAGTTTATTATGGAACCCTGCGCCTCGGGAGCTACGTTCTGAGCTGTTTACATGGAACAAAGCATGGTGGGACACAGACCACTCATAAGCAACCATCAATGCCAGATCCTCAGCCACGGAATTCCGCGGAGTTTTCCGACTGCCAGTAAATTGACAAAAAGATCTAGGCATTCAACTCTAGCGGTCTCCCGTGATATCATTAAAGCCGAAAGGGCTGTTTAGCGTGCTCAGAAATCAGGCGGAAGACGCGGTTCAACAATCAACGGTCAACCTGCAGTTCAAGCCCGTCCTTAGCGAGGGGTCCGAGAAACTTCGCTGTCAATAATCTCACTACGCAATCAACTTGGCGAGTTGTTTGACCCTGTCAGCCACTTGTATCTGCCCTCTCCTCTCCGAGCCTTGCATCCCTTTGCCCCCAAAGGTACTCAGGTTCCGCTTCAAGAATGATTCAGTTCGGTTCGAGAGATGACCCTGGTTTGAAAACTCCAATCACATACTATTAACGATGAAAGCACCAGTGGCAGCGTTCCAATCAGGTTATTGGTCAGACTTAACACGTCATGCTCTTGGCGTTGGTGGTATGATGGGCAATAGCGCAGTATAGCGTAGGATAGCGCAATATGTTATGCTGGTTCACGGCGCGGGCCTCGCGGTTACCAGGGTAAGGGTGCCTGCAGCAACTGGCTTGAGAATGGCAGTCCGTAAAATATCGGGGAACCGATACCGCGTGAACGGAACACAGTGGATTAAATCACTCATTGTTTGGATCGTCAAGAGTCCACATCTTTTACGTTCTAGATCTAAGACACCTTCTGCATAATCGCGGACAGTGAGACACAAGGCTTGGCGCACGCACTCCCTTGTAAAATCGCTAACCAAGTGCTGACAGCAGAATGACGTGGCAGAAGACGCCATCTTAGCCAACAGAAGCCGAACTACTGCCATGCAGTATCAAACTCAAACTGAATTTATTCCTCAGATAGCTGAGCAGTTGGTGATTTGCCATGGTTGGTGTGGAGTAGCTGAATTTTGACAAGGGGTTCTATCATGTCAGACGACAGCCACGCGAAGCTAGCCTGTCGATCCCGGCACGATTTGACCCAACCGCAGCGTCAAGGCCCAATGTTTCCCTGATTGCCTTCTCTTGCACTACCAACTAAGCGCCTCTCATTGGTCACTCTTCCAGGGCATAGCGGACGTGCCGGATCGATCGAGGCAAACAATAGTTTTCTTGGTAGATTGCGCTCTGACCAGTGATCTGTCAGATATACAGTGGCACGACAACATGTCTCAGTTGGGTTATGGAGAAAGTGAAATAGCTTGGGACGAACATGGAAAGTATTGCCTCTTTGGGAGATAAAATACCTCATTGCTTCTCAATCCGTGATGATCCGTTGATTTTTGACACCTGAACGTCAGCCGGGCGAGGGAGGTGTTCTTGCTGCGGCCCTAGACGGGACAAGGATTATACAGACCGGGACTAGGACTTGGGATGACATTAGACACACGGCAAACCTGCATGTTGGTTCATACGACAAATAGAATTACGGGGCGATCTACAGTACAGAATGAAATCTCAGCCCAACCAGGTTATCCCCCCAAGCAAGACGCGAGGACCCGAGCGCAAGGAGCTGCGCCATGCAAAGCAACCATGCCAACACTACCGTGCATCCAATGACAAACGCTACAAAGTACATGAACTCAAGGGGTCTCTCAAAGAACCACAAACGCCCCTCGGCCCGGTCGTTCTTCTCCTTTCCTTGGATCCGCCCATCCGGAACGTATTTGAAATCAAGGATGGAGCCACCTCCGAGACCTTGGTTACTGTGGATGATAGCGCTATGCAGCCCTTCCCGACAGAGATCAATCACCTTATCGTCCAGGGCAGGGATCCATCGCTGCAGGCTAGCTAAGCTCCACACCAACCAGCAATGGCCCTTGAAGCAGGCGTATGAGTACCAGCTGGGCCGTCCCATACCAAGCTGGTCGCAGATCTCGTGGCCATTCAAGACGCGACTAGCAGCTTGGATGAACCCATCCGAGATGTTAATGGGTGGTAGATCCTTGAGGGCCTCAACGAAGTTGTACCCAATGACAACAGAAGTGGGTGTCACAAGGAGCTCGTTATAAGCTAAGCTTTCCATCACAGCCTTAGCCTGAGTTGCCGATGTGAAGTACTCCTGGGGCGACCCAATGACATGGGCCACGTATCTCCAAAGGGCAATGTAATCTTCGACTTCCTGTTTCTCGGGGGTGATCCCCATAAGAGGGAGCTGAAGCCAAGCATGGTTGCAGCTGAATGTTGCAATGGCATGTATCGAGTCAAGGGTGTTGATAGGAATGCCGTGTGTCTCCTGATCAAAGAATCGGCATTTCGATGCGGCAACTTTGAGGATCTGCTGTCTGACCATAGAGTGCAGAAGACGGACTCGCACAATCGATCTATGCCCTGGTCCACCAGGCTTCACATGATCAAGCGAGTGCGTGACTTGAAGGACAAGCTGAAATGTTTCAAGCAGTCGACGCCGCAAGACACGAGTGCTGAAGCCACCAGTGCGAGCAAGTACTTCGACAACGCTGGTAGATGCAGAGTTCTCGCCCACAAAGCCTTGAAAAGCAAAGCCGATGAGGTTTGCGAGGGCATAGCGGTAGAAGAATTTCTGTCCCCGGGCAATCTGATCCCAGTCAACCCAGTAGGGGACAGTATGAACTTCTGTCCAAAGCTGAGAAAGCACTTGGCTCTGGTTATGGTGACGAGAAAGTGTTTCGAACAAGTCCTGTCTGCCGACTTGTTGACCTTCTTTCTTTTGCTGAGCGTGGATATCTTGGATCTCCTTGACAGCAGCAGCTCCAAGTTCGTCACATTCGTGACGGAGAGGATCTGTGTGAGATTTGGGAATGTGATCATTTGTCCATCTGAAAGAGTGGTTTCCAATAGTTCGAAGCTCTTCCCGAGCTACGGACTGCCCAGTGAACTTCATGGTAAAATGGATGAAAGACTAAACAAAAGTTGGAAAAGAAGACTTGTCTCAACTCTGACATTCTGAAAGAGCAGTAGGACAGACATCCTCCAATTTAAGCTGGGGACGTCCAAGTGTACCTGAAAGCCAGGCTCGGCACACCTCATACAGTTGCCATCCCTTGACTCGAAGGATAAATTGCGTACTCTTGTTTCTCGGGTTCGTGTGGCGGTCCGCGGACTTCTCCATTCGCCTAACACACGATCAACATCACGAGGGGGTGACCCGTTGGTGGACTGCTTACTCTTAGTTTCTCACTTCATGATTTAGATCTGAACCATACCCACGGAGTGTGTGGCCCATCTGCCAATAATTCGTAAAAGAGACCCCTGTCCACTCATCACCTGGTATGATATGCTCACCCTAGCTGACTACAATGTCTGGGAATCATGATTCCATCATGGCTTAGCTTGTGTCTAGTCTCAAGCTGAAAGAAAATGACGCGGGATGAAGGGAAGCTGGCTGATTGGAACATCTGCGAGGCTGGCTTGCGTTCCTTGTTTCCTTTGGGATATTTGAGTACTCGTGACGCCCAGAAAGCCTCGAGCTGATTCCTGCATGTCAAAGAACGCTGTTGTTCGCTCCCCCCATCCTCGCCTCCCCCTTCACTCACTCCCTCTCCACAATCTGTACCTGCAGCAATGGCCATGCAGGTGTTCACTACCAAGATGGAGTCGAAAAGAACTGTCATTCTTCCCGACATGTTCAAAGCATTCGTGGTTGAGACTCCGCCCATGAATCCCAACTATGAAACAGTCAAGCCTATATCCGAGAGGTGGCTTGCAGAGTAGGCTGCCCTCGATCTTGATGTATACCCGTACTAATGCACCAATAGGAAATGCTCCTTCTCACCTCGAATGAAGAAAAGAGTTGAGTTCTGCGACTTTGCCGTCTTTATCTCCATCGCTGCTCCTGATGCTCCATTCGACAAGCTCAAGACGATGTGCGATTGGGGGAACTGGGTAAGTAAACCATGTCTCTTGCTCCATCGCTACTCTGACATTGCTTCCAGGTTTTCCCTTTCGATGATAGTATGTACTGCTATTCAAGCTGATTGTTGATTGCGCGAGCTAATAATTGTAGTGTTTGATGAAGGATCATTGAAATCAGATCCAAAACGGTCGCAAGTCGTCATCGATAGTCTGATGGCAAATATGCTAGATCAGACCTATACCAGACCAAAGAGCGCTGTAGTCCAGGCCCATGACGACATATTCCGAAGAGTGTCACAAGTTAGTTCAGCTCTACCACATGACGTTATCACAATCTGACAGTTTACCATCACAGGGCTCAACACCTGGCAGGATTCCCTCAAACAATCTTGACATGGACGTCACTAACAATCTCAGGTGCTCGTAGAAGATTTGCTCTCGCAATGAAGCAATACACAGACGGGGTAGTCCATCATGTGAAGCAATTCTCTACAAACAGCATTCCTAGTATCCAGGAGATGCTTGATACAAGGCGGCTTTCGTCAGGAGTGACACCTTTGTATCATCTGATAGAATATGCTCATGATATCAATTTGACAGATGAAGTATTCCAGAACCCCATTATCCAGAGACTAGAGCTTCTGGGTGCGGACTTTGTCTTGCTGTAAGTACCCATTAGTGGCCTTGGTCTCATATAACTAATCGGCAAACAAGGTCCAATGACATTTTATCTTACCGAAAGGAAGAGGTGAGTCGATCTATCGCCCACCATATCTGATAACAGGACACTAACATGGCGCAGAATGACGACTGCCCGTTTAGCATGGTCGCAGCTTGTCGAATGAGTGGCCAATCTCCACAAGAGGCATTCGATACAGTCGGGAACCTTCTTGAGGCAAGATACCAAGATTGGCAGAATGCAATTAAGCAACTGCCAAGTTGGGGACCTGAGATCGACGCGAATGTCGCTCGTTATATCCAAGGCATTCAAAATGTAGTGCAAGCCAACATCACGTGGAGGTACCAGATTCTTCTGAAATGTGAAACCGATTAAATGCTGACAACATGCGACAGCTTCCGATCGGGAAGATATTTCGGGAAACAGGCTCCCGAAATTCGACGGACGAGAAAGATTGATGTGATGGTTAATCCACCATTTTTACAGGCGAGACAAAGCCGGTCTGGGTGGTCAAGATTGGTCATTGGATCATTTTTCAGACGGTTCTTTGGGTCGTTCGTCATTTGTTTTATGTTTGCTTTTTATTTTACCATTCTGAAGGGTTGAGGGAGGGGGAGGGAGTCACGGACCCGACAAGTTGGATGACCTCCTTCGGCGTTAAAGCGGCTGTAAATATTGACTTTAGATTGATTAAAAACATCAAAGCTGAGACAATTGATCAGCTTCGTGATCAAGGTTTGTCAGTGCGTCCGATCTGCTGAAAAAAGGCGGACAGCGGGCGGGAAGCCCCTCAGTAGCGAAGAGTCTGTCTAGGTCTGTGTGTCCAACTGTACTGTAAAATATTTGTGCGTCACTGAAAATCCCGCTGTCCAGGGAGAGCTGACAGGCTGATCACTTCCCTAAACGCCCTCTAGCCGAAGACATGGGCATGCATGTCAGTGGATCGAGGGCTTCTCATCGGGCCAATACATTTGTTATTCCCGCGTCCCCAGCCAGTGAGAGCCCCCTGTCTGTGAGGGGAGAAAAGAGGGATCCCGCTTTGTGTGTCATGCTACATATGCTTATGCTGTTGGTGAGGCCCGTATCACTTCACCTTATGCACTCTGTCTTCGGGCGTCATGCCGAAGGCTTTCGGCCGATGTATTTCGGCCACCACCGACTTTCTAGCTGCAGTACAGAACTCCGAAAATGAATCCGTCGTCTATATCATAGACCGATCTAATGTTCATGTTTGCACTTTTACTAAACCTTATACTTTGGCGGATTTATCTAAAAATGTCGACCAAACCGCTGACTAAAACACCAACCCTCAAACGGTCACGGGTCCAAGCAGAGGACCAAGATAACAATTACGATGCATCGGAAAACACAAGTCTCGGCCATTTATTGCACACAGAGGAGGGTCACCTCGATGACGGATTTTCTTACTCACTAGTCAGTTCATCAGGCCTGATAAAAAGGTCGTAGCGACAGTTCTGACTGTATCTGACCTCGTCTGCAGCATAATAACAAGGACCAGCATGACCTAGTAACTCTGGATGCTAGCGCTGACTCTCAATTACAAAATGCGCTCCGCTTCCTCCCAGCCAAGCCTCAATTAGGTGAGCATATCGTAATCTGACCTTATCTCATATCTGACCTTTTCCAAGACGCTCTGATTGAAGCCTTCTTCAGCAATGTCAATCACCATTACAACTTCATACACCCGCCGGCCTTTATACGACAATACATCAATTGGTCGGGCAGAACGCATCAACGATGTGTCCAGGATCTTCAACTCACTGCCCTCATCTTCATGATGTGCGCTTGCGTTACGCAGCATCTTGACATTGACGCGCAACAACCACCGAAGGATGTTTCCAAGACGTATCATGATGCTGGGACACGCCTTGCCGAGGCAATACCAGCTGGGTCCTATCATCTCATCAATCTTCAGTGGAAAGTCCTTTCTATCTGCTGGTTCAAAGGCGAAGCAAAATTCACCGAGGCATGGCATACGATTGGGCTCGCTGTGCAAGAGGCATATGAGTTGGGTAAGTCAATCACAAGAATAAGTCAATCAGGCTCTTACTGAACATCTTGTGCAGGACTACACAAGTCTCGACACAAGACACAAGATATTGAGGTGCAGATTGGTCGACGAGCCTGGCGCGTACTGTACTGCTGGAATTGGTACGTCAAGACCTGGCAGAATTGACGAGTCTTCGGTAGCTAACATCGCACAGGCAATTGTCATCAATACTTGGCCGGCCTTTCATCATGAATGACATCGATTCAGAGCCTGAACAGCCCGACCTAAGAAATGCAGCGCCAACACCAACACTGCATACCAAGCTCCAGTACCAACTTATATCATCTCTTGCCAAGCGCTGGCAGACACCACAAAACATTAACACGGCATCCAAAGTCCGGGAATACAAGAAAATGGTTGAACAGCACGTGTCCTCCTTCCCAGCTGTGTTTGCTCTAGATAACCCAGACACTTCAAAGGATGCCGAATGGCCATGGGTCGTGACGCATCGCTACTACGTCCAGACAATGGCATACTTTATGATTCTCCAACCGTACAAAGCCTACTTACTGCATCCATCGACAAACCTGTCTGTACCCGAGATACAGGAGCTACGAGCAGAAGCGGTAGAGTGCTCGCTGAAGACGTTGCAAATCGCAACTCAATGGGCATCTCGAGTCTCACAAGGCGATGGGCAGTTTCACCTTGTGGTTCTTTGTCTCTTCGATACAGCTGCTTTCTTGTCTATGTCTCTGCAAAAGGACCAAGTGAAGGACTTTCCTCGACGACATAAAGCTGTTGTTGCGGTTAATGAGGCTGCTGCGACATTGAAGGAACTTCAGACAATATCACGGGGAGCTCAATCATCGCATGGACTTTTATGCAAGATTTTACGCAAAATGGATTGGAATGCTACGGACAAATGAGAAATGTTATGACTTACGATTTATGTCACGTATTATACCTAGTTGCACTCAGGTGCTTTCATATCAGAAATGATGTATGCTTATGATCTCTCAAGCCTCTCCGTGATCGATTATCTTATCTCCCATCAGCCCAAAATCTCTCCAAAGCGTCTTGTCGAACCTCATATGCCCAGTGATGACACGTCTGATGAACCACAGGACTCACATCAACCTCGTCTTCGTCCCGACCATCATCCGCAAATACCGTCCGTATCCCCAAAGCCACGTACTTCTTGAGCAATATCCGCCGCCAACGACCCGTCTCGCCAACGCACTTCTTCCAACGACTGATCTGGCGATCATCATCAGGACATCGACGACCCATCCAGAAACGGCAATACCACTGAAACCAGCCCCGAACGTCGTACTCATGTGCGATCCAGCCAGCTGCTTCCCATTCCTCAATGCTTTGCCCGCATGCGACACCGTATTTGTTTATTTCGGGGTTGTACGTGTCGCTGATGAGATACTCATCCACGCTCAATCCCACGGCCCATGATGATGGAAGTTCTCTCCAATCGTCTTGTACGGTAATACCCAGATGCTTTGAGAATAAAGGTCGCCAGTAAGAGCCGCCAAAGCTTCCTTCGCGAATGATCTCTTCTGGGGATTTGTTGGGCCGGAAGTCAGGATGAGAATCGAAATGAAATACTCCAGAAGCATCAAGCGTCGGCTCACTAGCCTCTGGCTTCCATCTCGTCCACCCCTCTATAATGGATTTGATGTCTTTGTGAGTTTGACGTTCTGATTCAGGATCTGAATTTTTTGATTGCACAGCGTTGTTGTAGACTGTCCGACTCTTTTTCCCCTTTGTGGAGGATGTTTGTGATACATATGCATCATCTCGCTCTTCATCATAACTCGGTTTCGTGCTGGCTTCCGCAATTCTCCTGGATTGTCTTGTTGGCGCGCGTGGTGAAGTGGCCTTACGTTTGCCGCTTTTGCTGGCAGGCTTGGATTGAGGATCGACCTTGGGTACAGGACTCTTGAGTTTACTGAGAAGTATCTGATTCTGCTTAATATTCTCTTGGCGCCTTGCCTTAAAGTCTGCCATTTTGATGTCTGCGACGTGTTTTTAATGGTAATAAACGCTAAAGAGATGTTAAATACAGTTTAGACCACGACGTCATAGACCTGAAGCTCCACTATGCTGTACAGTTACGGTTAGTGCTAAGTGAGTATAGGGTAGTTTTCTTATTAAATCTGTTAATTTATATATAGGACCTAAAATTAAATTTACTTCTAAAACGCAATAGTAAAGGATAGTGACCCTAGGTAGCTCAGGCGGCTAAATAAGACTCTATTTACAATAATTAAATAACATTAAGTAGAGTTTAAAGATAGATAGTCTTTTTGACCCCGGTAATGTGAACTTCTAGCTTACCTTCCAGAGCATCGTGAGGGGCTTGTTAAGTCAAGGCCGGAGACCGGACCGGCCCCACTCGAGATTGCCGGCAACAGTACTTGTCAACGTGTAACGTGTAAGTCGGCTTGAGCTTGGTGGCTATGCATTTATTCAAAACCATGTCAAGCTCGTTCTTTTTCAAGGAAGATATTCCTCATTATCATTCCTTGTTTTCTATTCTTACGGACCAGCTCCTGCCAGTCACCATGCATGCCCACAAGACCCTCCGACAATCTAACATTCGTTCGAGCTTTACTCGTTCTCAGCGACGACGTGTGCGGGGGGGCTCGCCTCATCGTCATTTTGCGACATCCGCTGTCGCTTCGACGATTGAAAGGTCTAACACAATCGGCTTCATCGGCCTCGGCGCCATGGGCGGTCATATGGTCAGCTCCTTCAAATTCAATTCATTTCTATGGACGGAGTTCTTATGTGCCTAATTAGATTAGTAACCTTATTTCAAGGTATCAGAGCCCCTCGAGCGGAAACAAGGTCGGTTTCGCGTTGTGTGATGTGAACCAGGCCGCAGTGGACACTATCATTAAACGCCAAAATGCTGAGCACCCCGACGTGCCTCTGATTAGTTGCTCAAGTAAGCATGGACAATATGAACACTTACCATACATACCAGTATCACCGCTGATGCCTGATAGCGCCTTATGATGTAGCTCAGAAGGCCTCGACCATTATCACCATGGTACCCACCGGAAAGCATGTGCAGGAAGTATACGTCGGCGAAGGCAAGAGTGTTCTGAATGCTCTCAGAGAAATGAGTCAGGATCAACGAGCAGATACTCTTTGTATGGATCAGTCAACCATCGAACAAAGTGTGAGCAAAGCGGTTGCCCTGCAACTACGACAGGTTGGCGCAGATCTGGTGGATGCCCCAGTCTCAGGAGGTAACTGCGCCGAGCCATTCATATTGCCATTGTAACTGATTCACCACGTTGCAGGTGTCGTTGGTGCAGAAAAGGGCTCGTTGGCCATCATGGTGGGAGGATCCAAGGTCTCGTATAATCGCTCGGTTCCTGTCCTTGAAGCCATGTCTCGTAAGGTCACATATTGTGGTGACCTCGGTGCTGGGCTTGCCGCCAAGATCTCTAATAAGTGTGTAACCCCTCATGTGGCTGCTTGAGAAACGATTACTAACTGAAACATAGTCTTTTGCTTGGTATCACGATGCTTGGCCTGAGGTGAGATAGAAACCGTCAGAACCTAGACACTCAAAAGCAGACTTTAACAAAATCAAGTGAGGCGATGCTCCTAGGAAAAAGACTCGGAGTCGACCCTCAAGTCCTTGCTGATATCATCAACAATTCCACAGGACGATGCTGGTCTAGTGAGGTAAGTCTTCCAAACGACCTTGCAATAGTAGATTGGAGTTTTCAGGTTGGGGTACAAGCTAATGTTCTTGTCTAGGTCAATAACCCCGTTCCTGAGGTCAAGGTCGGAGATGCCAGCCCTCCAGCTCACCGACAGTACGAGGGGGGGTTCGTAACCAAGCTGGCTCACAAGGATCTGGCCCTCGCTGTATCGGCCGCTGCAGAAGCCAATGTCCCTCTCACGGTGGGAAGATGCGTTGAGGAGTCGTACAGGCCGTTGGCCAAGTCTAAGGAGTTTGGAGACCGAGACTTCAGCGTCATATACGAGGCTCTTGATTCCTTGGGCTCAACCAAGGTGTAAGCCGCTTGTCATGAAATATATAGCAGAATCTATTCACAAGGTGACAATCAGCCAACTTGGAAATTGACAACTCTGTATCGTTGAAAAATGGACATCTAGCATAAAGAGCTATAATAGCTTTGAAGCATATATATGAATCTAGTATGATATTTTACACAGCTTGACACTAGTCCTTAATTACTCGCGACTACTGTTCTTCTATTCCTCTTGAGTCGATCCATTAAAACTGGAGAGTAAAGCATAATCGATTGGACCAAATAAATCGATCCACGAGTTTGGCATCAGGTCATCTGATAGCTGGCCACTCATATGACCATCCTGGCTCAGCTGGTTTGACATCGTATTATAGTCGACCAGGGCCCACATCGCTTCTTCCATTTCAGGCGTGAAGCTCAACCCCTGGGTGAGGCTATTCAACTGGCGACCCGGGAACCCATCGAAGACTATCTGGCGCAGTGTCGAGGCCTGTCGACGATAGTTAGTGCACAAACAAGACAAAACTGAGATCTAGCACGTCACCATTGTTCTGACATTACTCCAGTGATGACCAATGATATCCAGATAGCCCAAGGCCTCCTCGAGCAATATCTGGGCCTCTTGGCAAGTCGGCGAGTCCTCATGATAGGTCCGGAACGCGATAATGGAGCCAGCCACCGTGACCGCATAGCCGCTGGATGAGGCGTGGAACGAGCAGCCCAACTTGCGCGACTCGCGGATAAGAGCTATCATCTGCTGTGCGTGAAGCCAGGCCAAGTCAGATGATCGCTTGATGAAACTGATAGGAGCCAGGTTTCGGCATGTGTTGATGCGGCGCCGTAGTAAGAAAGGATGGTTGAGCAGACAATAGCACAGGTGGAATAATGCCCGAGAGAAGATGATCGGACCTGACGACTGGCTGTCTACCAAGCCTTCAGCTAAGATATAGGGTGCGAGTATCTCATTGATTGGTCTCTGTATTTCCAGGTATGCTTCGAAATGGAGAAGATCGGACTCAATGCCGGCGAAGTCCGAGCCAGGGTCCCAAGGTGGATGTGGGCCTCTAATGTTGAAGTCTTGGAGTACATATTGCGCACATCGGCCGAGGATCTGCGCTATAGCAATGACCTGTGCCAAAGGGCATTGGCGTTGGGATATTGAGAGAGTCCGGTTCGTCATCTCGTCCAACGATTGTGTCTTGACCCCTAGGCCGTCTCTCCAGGTTGACTCATCACACGGCAGCTGTAAGTGGCACGATGCATCAACGATGGCCGGTGGCCGACCACGACCGCAAGATACCAAGCGATCCAACAAGTATACTGACCAAAACACCCGTCGTCGCTCTTCCTGTTGGGCATATGAGAGGTGCTCTACATTCTCCAGCATGAGCCCACAGTCCTGCGCGATCCTGACAGCCAGGCCGACTTTGACCCACGCTGAGCCATGGCGTAATCGACCAGCTATGCGAGTGATGAGCGACGAGCGTCAGGAATAGTGAGCATCAACACATCCGGAGACTGCAAGACGTACCAGTAAAGTCGAACAGGCCCAGCAAAGCAACTGTCTGGACCGTGGACACCTCTGCCACCTTGCCCACGGTGAAACAGTCCGACACAATGAGTTTCCAAGACCTGTTGGCATACTCGACAGACATCTCCAATGAGCGGCCGGAATAGTAGGGATGCGAGCAGAACCGGACCGCAGTCGCCATGACGGCTAGGACTAAATGCTTAGGGATGGCTTGTTGAGCCAAGCCCCGCCGGAAAGTCTCTTCGTGAAAGAACGAGTAGGGCTGATTCTGGCCGTAATTAAAATACGAATCAACGACTGCCATGAGCACATCCTCCGACGTCCCAAAGTCCTCGATCGCAGGGTCATCATGCGGCGAAGGCTGGTATGCAGTGCCACCTGTTCTAGGGCTGCTGACGCTCTCAGGACGCCCGGAAGAAGCTGGCAGCCCTACCGGTATGGCATCCGGGTCAGTATTACTGCTATCTACAAGCGCAACGAGGCATCTTTCGATCCTACGGAGCCGTTCAGTATCACGATTCCTTGTTGCTGGGACACAAGCTTACCGTTGCAGGCTTGATCCCATGGACTCGATCTTTGCCTCTAGTGTCCCAATCCTACTCACGAGCTCCGACGTCTAACATGTAGGCTTTAGCACACTGGTGGATATATGGATGTGGAGTCAGGTCAATTCATACCTGTACATCGCTTGACTCGGAGGTTTGTGTTTGTCGATAAGTCTCGGGTTCATCGATGGCGATACTCGCCGAGCGAGTCCTTTGCTGCCGGGGAGCCTGCCGCCGAGAAGCCTCAACAGGATATACACAATCTTGCATTGTTACACAAAAGTCCGATCAGCTTATCGTTGGATCCGAAGCATCACTTACCAATCTTGAGTCGTTGGCACTGTCCGCATACAGGCCGATCGCCAGTACACCGGCATTTTTTCCGTCTTGGGTAATCAGCTTTCTATGGCGCGCAGGCTTAAAAGGCGGGGTAGCGATTGCGTACCTGCACTGTAGGCATGCTTGGGCAATACGCTGCACTGGAAAGTAAGTATCGGCGCTGCTCCCCATGACACAGATAAGCAGAACACGGAGCGGATGCTTTCGTGCTGGAGCGTGGATGGAGTCGACGAGTTGTTTGGTCTGGCTCCTTACGTTGGAGATCCGGACCGCGAACTGCCGACTAATCCACGTCTGCCTGTTTTCGGCTTAGCTACATGCAAGGAGACAGCACTTGATAACCACGTGGAGTATAGCCGGACCGTCTCCACTTGTCGGAGTTCGAGACCGTGTCTAGATGCGCATGATCGCGGTTTTCGGAGCCAGACGCCGTAGTTGCAGGAATGAATCATGATTCAAAAGTATGATACAAGGACATTATAGGGGTTCAAACAAACAAGACCATCAATCAGACAGCCAAACACAGAGTACACAGGGAAGGGCCATCAAACAGCTACATAGCTACGCAGGAATGGACTCCGAACCCCATATCTCTATGTAAGCATAGCATCTCATGCAAGGCAGCTTCTCTTGGCAGCTTAGACGCTGACATGGTTCATCACAAAAGTGAAAGCGAGGAAACGCAAGAGCACATGCCAGTGATCCTCGATGGGAATCAAATCAGCCAAACAGCCTTCAGCTCGTTCCCAGACACAAAATACGGTACCGTGGTCTGGCAAACACTGCTCTCCAAACCGAGCACCTGCTCCGACTCGATGTGCGTAGGAATCGCGACGTGTCCCTCCAACGGTACACTCGCCCTGCACCAGCATTCTCAGGCAGAGGTCTACTACGTGCTTGAGGGGTCTGGGCAGGTTGAGATTGACGGGGTCAGGCACCATGTCAAGGCGGGAACCGTGCTTTGGATTCCTGGGAATGCGATGCATGGTGCATATTGCGGGCCTGAAGAAACGTTGAAGTGGCTTTATGTCTTTCCGGAAGCACGGTTTGAAGATGTCATTTACAGGTTTAAAGATACATAGTGGGCATTATATTACGCTGAGGATTCTCATGAGAACCTTTTGGTTTTACACTTACTGAACTTCTCATTGTCTTGCGCCGTCGCTAATAGATCAAATTACCCACTCGAACAGTGAGTTATTGCATCTTTGACATGTCAAAGCCGTCACCATCACAAACAAATTATCGATGGCGCTAATGCAAGGAATGCAATTTCAATACCGAATTGATACAACAAAAGAACAATAGATGTAAAGGCACCCCGGGAGTATCTCAATTTTGGTAGACACATACTGGAGATCATCTGGTAGCTAAGTCACTCACGGACCGTACCCACTCCCCCCGTAAAGTAAACGTCCTTGGGCCGAACGGCACTATACTGATAGCAGACCCATCAAATAATTGCCGTAAGTTTCCGATTCGTAGATATGCCAGAAGTATATCTATAAGATAAAGGAACAGAAGTCACTTTGCCAAACACGTAAATGTTCTTAATTTATTGGCAAAATCGTTCCTATCTAACCTTTCTATTTATCATCATCACCGATAATGGCGCAGATAGTCTCGGGCGCTGATATCTACGGACAAGGGTCCTGGATTGACTCCAAGGCACTACCAGTTCCCGATGATGCATGCCGACTTCTCAAGATGCTGGCCGAGGCGACTCCCGGATTCACTAAAGACCCCGCCGTTCTGGACACGGTAGCTTTCACCGGTTCCCCCGACACAATTGTCCCTGGCCCCCTGAAATCAGCCGTTATCGCCGCAGCTTTGAATGCCATGAGCGGCATTGTTGCTAACGAGCTCCTCGAACTCAGAGATGGCCAGATCTCTAGTCGGACGGTGTCAGTCGATACCGACCATGCTGCATTCTGGCTCGGAAGTGTCGGCATGACCAAGCGCAACGGCCAGACTGTCCAGGAGCTTGGCAAGGAGGGTAAATTGGGTGAAATCTTCCCTAAAGATCTTCAAGGAGACATCTTCGGAACGCCACTCAGATTACGCGCCACGGCGAACTATGAGACCAAGGATGAAGGCGTTTGGTTTCAGCTACATGGGTCTCTAGGCGCAGATCCGGTACTACAAACCATCGGCATAGACCCATCACAAGAGTGCGGCAGTAACGATGAGGCTACCCGAGTCATTGCGGAGCACGTTCGCAAGTTTGGAGCGCATGAGTTGGAGATGATGCATCTCGTTCAAGGCCTTTGTGGAAGTATCTGCTATACTCCCGGTGGATGGAAACAGACACGCATGGCCAAGGACTTGGCTAAGCACCCCCTTATCAACTACAAGCAGCAGACGCACGCAATCCCCACACCAGCCATTCCGTTGCCAGTATCTGACGATAAACGACCACTGTCCGGTATCAAGGTCTTGGAGATTGTCCGCATCATTGCAGGCCCCGTTATTGGAACGACATTAGCTGCTCTTGGAGCTGATGTGATCCGTGTGAACTGCGGCCGCCTCCCTGACTTTAATGTAAGTCATTTTTACCCTCTTCCGTGTCCTCACATGAGCTTTTACCATTTCTCTACCCAAAGCTGTCCATAATGCGTTGAAACTAATAACATTTGATAGGGACTTCAACTGACGCTGAATGCTGGCGTTAGAACTGTGGATATTGACCTGGCCAAAGATGATGAAGTTAAACATCTCCTCGCGTTAGTCGCAGATGCAGACGTCTTTATTCAAGGCTACAGGCCAGGAGTCATTGCCAATAAAGGGCTTAGTCTTGATGATCTTCTAGAGATAGCTGGCAAAAGAGGCAAGGGCATCGTATACGTGGAAGAGAATTGCTATGGACCAGATGGCCCTATGGCTGAGCGACCTGGCTGGCAACAAATTGCGGATGCAGCTTCTGGGTGCTCTCATGTTATTGGGAGAAGCCTGGGTCACGAAGACGGAACATGCGTGCTCCCTGCTCTGCCTGTACCGGATATGCTCACGGGCTTGATCGGTGCTATCGGTACTATGATGGCCATCAGGGATCGTGCACGCCAGGGCGGTTCCTATCACGTCTTTGCTTCCCTCATGGCCGCTGCCTCTCTCCATCTAAGCCACGAGATCGGACTATACTCACCAGAGGTGGTAAAAGACTGCCAAGAGAAGTTCGGTTGGGACCAAACGAGCTCTGACCTCTTTGTACTTGAGCTGTTGGATGTAGTATTGAAGGGATGGGCTACAGCGATGCCAAAGACATTTGGACCAGATTCACCTTACATGTCTCATCTCAAAGGTGACTGGGGCGACTTTGAAGTGCTGAAGCCAGTTGTTCAGCTGAGCGACAAAGACGCATCGCCATACTACTCATCTGCTCCAGAGCCTAACTGCTATCGCGACAGTACTGTAATGGCGTGGCGATAGGATAATGAAATTCACTATAAGTCATACCACTTCACATCCAGTTCAGAGCTTTTGGTTTCGCTGTGATACGGCTAAGCTGTTTGAGTGACACAAGGAAGTGAGGAGGGTGAACTAGTCCTAATGAAAGTGGCCTCCGGGCTTCCCAGTTGATAGAGACATATGCCTGTGTCGAAATTGTAGCCCGGGCCACCAGAAGACATTACCATCTTATACGTCAGACGTGATTATCACAGATAGGCTTGCAAAGCTTATCTTGGGCAATTGCATGGGTCAGCTGGTATACTGCCCGGACTGACTTTATAAGAGTGTTATTTTGAGTTGACAGTCCCCACAGCTGATGGCTCACATCACGCGCCTCACACACGTATCCTCTTAGCCTCCGTAGTTAGGTCTTAATCATTAAAAGAGACTTTGATTATGTTGTTTTTTTAGCGGAGAGAGTGCACTGGCTAAATAGATATAAACCCTTCATTACTAATTAACACCTCTCTTAATATATCCCGTCTCGTGGACCAAAGTCATAGACTTGAAAATCTTTGCAAAATCATTTAAACACTTGCTCCGCGCCTCCAAGTGACCAGGTTTTGTGCTGATACCGCTTGGGGGGTTGAGGTTAACAAATTCCTCCCAACCAGTCACCAGCAGGGGCCCTTGTCCTGTGAGCAGCCCTTGGACGTAATTCAGCGCAACATCTTCACAATTGAAGTGTTGATCGACATATTCTCGAACTTTTTCCATGGTGCTGTCGTCAGACCAGTAATAATCCATAAAAGAAATATGTGAAAAGCAAAGGTTCGTCAGGATCATCGAGTACTCTTCGCGCTTATCTCCCGGACAGAAATTATAGGTATATTGACCCTTTGCATCCTTTTCGTAGCAGCGAGCAAGGGCGCCAGTGAGACGGTATCGGCCGAATTTCTTCCATGTCTGGAATACAAATTCAAGGTCGTTGGGGTGATAGTACACATCGTCGTCTGTTAAGAGTATGGATTGGGTCTTGAAGTCGGGATCCGGTCGGAACTTTTCGTTGAGGCTGTCTTGGAGACCTCTCCGAAATCGCACAGGAACTCCATGCTTAGATGTGAAGTTCGTCGGCGGTAAATCATCAACGTCGCCCCAGATGACGACAATTTCATGAAGTGATGGGATCTTTTCTTCGAGTAAGACTGACAGCGTGTGGTTCAGCTCTTTCGGGCGCCGGTAGGTAAGCATGGCGATGGTGAATTTGTCCTCATCTAGATGGCTATACCTAGTCTTGGCCGCATTCCAGATAGCCTGAGGACTGCCTGTTCTTGCGATAGCAGGAGTGGCTCGTTGGTTTGAGGCTATGACGGGTAGAATGATCTGGCTGGCATCCGTGTACGTCAGACCGAGGATGAGAATTGACGCGAATGTCGTGAAGATAAAGGTTTTATTAATGAGGAGGCGGGAGATATGTGAGCTCAAAATGTGAAGGTAGAGGCTGGACGATTCGAGAAATCTGTTCCTGGAGCTCTTAGATGTGGAAATAGGAGCCATGGCTGCTGACGGGGCAATGAAGCACAGGATAGCCCGTACTTGCTGCGAACGGCGATATGATGACTGTATGTGAATAAAGCGTAAAGCATCTGTTATGTGGCAGGTACAAGATTGCGTCGATCTCTTTGTACTTACTGAAGGCTTATTGGCAAAGACATAAGGAGTATAGTACAGACCAATGTGTTGCGTAAGCCTGTACGATTCATGCCATTTACAGGAAAGACTTTTGAATGTAAGTATACTAGTAAGGTAGTTATCAGGCGATAAATCTCTGGTATCTTAAATGAAGCAGATAGTGTAAAGAACCAGACAGGGGTAGCAGTAAGTTTATAACACCGACCTTAAGGAACTATTGAGATATAACTATAAACTTGTCTCGATTTTCATCACACGACTGGGACGCGAGTCCTGCTCACTTCACAAACCGTAGGCTGGCGCGTCACTTCATGCCCAATTGAGATAAAAAGACAGAGATATCAAATCAGAGGGCACTTGGCCGAAAGAACCCCTTGAAACCGAGCGCCTTTAGTTTCTCGTCACTCTATTCCTATCATAGTCTACCCGTGACTACATGATGCTGGGCTAGCTCGCTTAGACAAATAGGGTATCCTGCGTTGGAGCCATTTGCAGGTGGGGTTTAGTGCTAGAAATAGGTCAACAGTTAAACTTCTCTAAAACACTGGGCGCCAGGGACCTCCGAATGGAATCATCGTATAAATTTCGCAATTCCATAAAGAGTGACAACTCGGTCCGATGTGCCGATTTGCCGATTTACCAAGTTGTCCATTGGTTCTAGACTTGAGCGTTCCGTTTCAATCTTGAATACACCAAATGGTATGATTCCGATTTAGGACCACTAACTTGACCTAATCGTGGCCACGTCATCCCGGTCTCCCGAACACAACGTCACTTCATGTCAGTCCCGGGAGAGCCCACATTACGTTTTATAACCTAGCTAAAGTAATTGTTTTTTATAACTTATATAACACAAGCCTGTATTACTTAGTATAGGAAAACTAACATGTCTCTGTACAGATTATACCTTTCTTTTTAGACCATTTACTTATATTTATATATATATAGATTAGCATTATCTGAAATTATGCTTTACTTCTATATCTTATAGCCACTTCGCTTGTCTAGAAGTGTTATTTGCAGTTG